TTACTGTTCGTGTTGTGGATTATCTGCTGTACCTGTGCCGCTGCACCTGTGGATTACCCGCTGAAGGAGAAGAGTCTCAAGGGACAATTATATTATGAACAGTGAATGCATAATATTGTGGAACATGTGTAATAGAGACATAGTGTGAATGAGGTAGAACTTGAGAAAGATAGAGAGAACATCTGTCGTCAGGTCATGTGAAACTTCTTGGGCAATCAACATGTGTGGAGGTTATTATACCGTGGATTGTTGATGTGTCTGTTGATGAAGAACTTCTATAGTAAACCTATTTCCTTCAGAAAAAGTGTAGGGAGTATGAAATGTTCTCTAGTGGATTAAGAGGTGACATTCTGAAGATTACACTATAATGCATCAGAAAGCTGTGATTTCTTTGTGTATTAGTAAGTGGACGAGTTGTTCAGCCATGTTGTTAAGTAATATAGATGCTAGTATGCGTTTATCTCTTCTGTATGGAAGTAGAATATTATCTTATATCAGTTTGCTACAGTAGAAGTCAGTGCCTTCGCGATGTTTGAAATGTACGTGCAAGTTACGTAGTGAAAAATGCAGTCTTGCTGTAGTTAAGTTTAATTCAATAGTCAAAGCGGTTCTTAAGGCAGTTCTAACACTTTACTTTGTTGTACAAGTTAAAATATTTTATTCGAATTCACATAGATGTAGCTATAGAGAAGTTCCAAGTTAACAGTTCTGTATTTATTGTCAAATGTCGGGACGACATCTCAGCCAGAGGGGGCGTGTGTTGCCATGTAGAAACACCCCCTTTAGGATAATGGTTTGATCCGATGTACGCATGCGTACTGCGCAGTTGGTTTGAGAGAACAAAGAATACACTCAGTCGTCTCTATGCTCTGGCTTCGCTGGTCGTAATTGCGTTGTCATCTGGAATAGGAACTGTGATCTGGAACGAGAATTGGTAGGGTAACACTGGCAGACACACAGGCACATGCGCAACAGGCAGCTAAAGCCGTGGTGGTGCAGTATGAGGACCTGGAACCCAAAATCATCACCATTGAGGTCAGTAAGGTCAAATGTAGGGTGTATCTAGAAGTGCTTTGGTCTGATCTAACCAGAAGTGAAGATCCTAACTTAAAGATATTGTCCTTTGCCCCTCCAGTTCTTTTGAAGATTGGCTGAATACAGAAAGAGCTAAAACCGAGGCAAAATTGAACATAATCAATAAGCAATGACTGATAGGACAGTACTTATGCTGATTATATAATGAGGACAATCATTTGTTCTGTTAGGTTGATATGTGGTGTGCTGCACTACGTGTTCATGTCTGCTTTTGTTTCCAGGATGCAATTCTGCACCAGTCGTTCTTCCATCCCATCAACAAGATAGAGAAGGGCAATCTGCAGGAGGCGTTTGAGAAGGCTGACCAGGTAACACTGCTGGCAATTGCTTTGCTGAAGGAATGATGGAGAATTGTCATGAAGACAGTCAATAACCTGTAGTGTTTGAGTACATTACATGTATGTAGCATGTGGCAGGACAGAGTTGGAGGGGCCGGTCACTGCCGATAAACAGAGCAGTACTTTGTTAGGTTAGACCATAATTGTTTGTTTGTTTATTTATTTATCCAGGAGAACACATGTCGCCTGATGGTGATTTTCAAGTGCATACAGTTGTTTGAAGGCTGTTAGGGTTCTGGACTTCTGGCTGTTTATAGATGGTGTGGTAGTGTGTTCCACCATATGAAGGAAAACATTCATTTATTACATCGATGAAGGTTAGACATCCAGGTAATACGATACACCAAAAAGCAGTTACTCAAGCAACTGCTTTTTGGCGCATTCATTTATTATTTTGCTTTGCAAATGTTACCTTTCTAGTTATTCTTTTGTATCAGATCATTGAGGGGAAGTTGAGGATCGGAGGCCAGGAGCACTTCTACCTGGAGACCTGCGCCGCGATCGTGGTTCCTCATGGGGAGGACGGAGAGATGGAGATATACTGTTCCACACAGAACCCCGACATGACACAGGTTAGTCTTACACAACCCCACCAAGACACAGGCATGCTCGTAGCCAGGGAGGGTTCGGGGGGTTTGGAAGAACCCCCCCACAAGGCTCAAAGGTCCACTTTTTGGTCCACTTTTTATGTATGTAAAGGTCCAAGATTTTTCTTGAAAAGATGGACTAGAATCGTAGAAAAACTGCTTCCTTTGTCTTTGAATAAAAATTATCTCTGATTTGTTCTTGGAAATCCTCTCAAAAACGCACGAAATGCCATTTTAGAAGGTTCATGTTTCAAAATTTTCTGGGGGGGCATGCCCCCAGACCCCCTAGGAACCTCGCGCCTTTGGCGCTCACCTGACGCCTACAGCACTCGATGTCCCCTCAAGCAGTGGGAAGAAACCCCCCATTCGAAATCCTGGCTACGGGCATGACAGGTTAGTAGTAAAGTTCACGCTTTGCTCCAACACAATAAAGGAACTCACCATAAATTTTCGGTCAATCTCGTCGACCTCCGTCAGAGGCGTGATGACGTCAGGAGCGCATCAAAAGTGGCGAGAAGACAGAATCTTCCACCACCATGGTTCAGAGAGGGTTGATGGGCCCTGATGTAAACTGCCTCCCTCATGCTCCTCACAAAGTAGTCCTTATCCAGTGTAACTGTGTGGTCCAGGGACTCGATATTAAAGTGTTATGAAATAAAGACTGAACTTTAACTTCCAACACTAGATATAGAATTGGGACTTACCCAATTCTATATCTAGTGTTGGAAGTTAAAGTTCAGTCTTTATTTCATAATGATTTGTACCAACACAGATGAACTTTCATGCTCGATATTCAAGTGTTGTGAAACTTTGGACGTAGTGCTCCGAAAATCTAGTTTTAAGTGACCGTTCAGTTTCACCTATGTATGTTTCAGGGCACGGTCCCATGATGATCTGTCCTGCAGTCTGTATGTTGTCACTCAGAACTAGATTTTCCTTGGTGCTTGGTGCTAGACTGTCCTTGGTGCTGAAATCTGTGGTGCGATTGCTACATTGTCATGAGATAGAAAGCTTCCGTTCACATTTGTTTGTGTCCATTGCACATCTTCAAAATGATAATTAAAAAAAAATTGTGATACTGTATAAGGATGTTCTTTATTCAACAACTAGTGCGTTTTTACGTCCGACATTTCAGTTACCATCTGTCAGAGCAACAATGTCTGGTTCTATATTTTTTACTGTGGTGTTCTTGCTACATGCTACTATGAGATAGAAAGCTTCCCTTCACGTGTGTTTGTGTGCATTATTCTTTGAAACTATCAGAAACAAGTTGTGATGCTCAGTTTTTAAGTTCAAGCTTTGTTCCAACATAAGAAAGGAACTCACCAAAAATGTTTGGTCAATCTCGTCAATCTTATTGGTCAGATGTGTGATGCACTCTCTGACTCTCTGAAAGTCGGAAACATGACGACTAAAGTGTTGGAACCAAGATTGAACTTTACAACTATGGATTCTACCAACACAGAAGAGCTTTCATCCGAAGTTGTGATGCTGTTGTTCACTAGATGCTGGCAGCCAAGGCCCTGGGCGTCCCTGCAAACAGGGTGGTCTGCCGGGTGAAGAGGATTGGTGAGGAAAACTCATTGTCTTTTCTAAGCAGGGTCTTCATGGAAACTGTCTGTTGTGGATGCAGTAGAGTTGAATAGCAGGGGATGATTTTGACTATTTGCTTTACATTTAAGTGTAGCATATCTTCACTACAAATGTTTTTTTCTTTTTTAATTTTTTTTGTTAGTAATTGTAACTGAGATACATAGATCCTGTATTTTCTCATGTGTGTGTGTGTGTGTGACTGTGTGTGCATGTGTGTGTGCATGCATGCGTGCATTTGTGTGTGCATGTGTGTGTGCGTGCGCATGTTTGTGTGTGTGTGCATGTGTTACATAGATCATAGATAGATAACTGAGATACATAGATCCTGTATTTTCTTACGTGTGTGTGTGTGCGCGCGTGTGTGTGTGCGTGCGTGTGTTTGTGTGTGCATGTGTGTGTGTGTTTACGTATGAGAATATTTATAAGATTATGCATATGATTTTTGTTGCTCTTGTACAGGTGGGGGATTTGGAGGGAAGGAGACACGAATATGTGTTCTTAGTTCAGTCTGCGCTGTAGCAGCTCACAAGTAAGTTATTTCTGATGATTTATTTTACTGAAAATACCGGTATCACCACAGGCAGAAGGCTAGGAATGTCCTCTCTGAAGAGCTACAATCCAAACAGTATCACCAGCTTGTGAACTAAAATGGTTGTGATCTTTTTTAGGCTCACTTTAGACTGGAAGTGGTTTATCACTCGGAAAACCCTCAAAACCCTTTGCCACCAAAAACGGTTTCTCGTTAGATACAGGGGTGAAAGGGTTTTGGGCCACCCTGGTGGTGTGGGATTATCATTAGCATATGGCCAAACTGTTTCGCAAAACCCTTTCTCTTTAGAGCTAGCAGGAAGGGTTTCAGGCCACCCACTGAATGGTTTCAAAACTGGTGTGTTACACCGAAGGGCGGTTATACCTGCTATACAATACAGATACAGAAGCTGGTGTGTTACACCAAAGGTTGGTTATACCAGCTATACAGATACAGAAGCAGGTGTGTTACGCCGAAGGGCGGTTATACCTGCTATACAGATACAGAAACTGGTGTGTTACACGTGGGGCGGTTATACCTGCTATACAGATACAGAAACTGGTGTTTTACACGAGGGGCGATTATACCGGCTATACAGATACAGAAGCTGGTGTGTTACGCGGAGGGGCGGTTATACCTGCTATACAGATACAGAAGCAGGTGTGTTATGCCGAAGGGCGGTTATACCTGCTATACAGATACAGAAGCAGGTGTGTTATGCCGAAGGGCGGTTATACCTGCTATACAGATACAGAAACTGGTTTGTTATGCCGAAGGGCGGTTTTTATTTATTGGGATTTTCAGAAAGAAACTGGGAGGAGTCAGCAAACAGGATATACATGTAATCCTTTGACAAGGCTGACTCCTCCAAACAAATAATAAATGATAAAAACATGAGTATACAAAGTATGAAATATAATAATAACAATAATAATAACAATGATAAAAAAGGATAATGATAATGATGAAGTGGCTGTAGAGCGGAAAAATATGGATGACTAAGTTTGTTAGCAGTTAAACCATGTACTAATGTTGTAAACATCGAAATGGGTGGACAGTAAATGTAGGTAGTGTTTGGATACGGCTTGTTTAAAACGTTTGACTGATGGATTTGGAGTTAGCCTGAGGCGTCTGATTTCTGTTGGAAGGGCATTCCATATGTTAACAATTCTTAAGAAAAAAGAGTGCTTAAAAGTCGTTGTATGGCATTTACTTGGAGTCAGTTTGGCCAGATTATGTGCCCTCAAGTAGGGATGTGGAAAGATTAGGAAATTTTCAATATCTATGTCGTACAAACCTGAGAAACACTTGAAAATTAAAACTAAATCTAATATTTCGCGTCTGTATGATAAAGGTAATAGCGAGCAAGTAGACAGCCTATCTTTATATGTGTAATCAGTGGAGTAATTATTGAGAATGTATTTGGTTCCACGTCTCTGTACACTTTCTAGTCTTTCTATTAGTTCATGTGTATGCGGAGACCATACCGTGGAACAATACTCTAGCTTACTTCGAACAAGGGACATGTAAAGAGCTTTTTTAACAGACACAGGAGCATGGTAACCTAATGACCGTTTTATAAAACCTAGTGTAGAGTTGGCTTTAGAGATGATGTTTTGGATATGAAATTTCCATGTTAATTGGCCGGTTGCAGAGACTCCAAGGTCATTAAATTCGGAAACAACCTCTAAAAACGTGTCTTCCATTTTATATTGGAAGCGAACTTGATTTTTTCCCCTACCAATGGTAAGTATTTTGCATTTATCAGCGTTGAACTTCATCATTCATATTTTGCCCCAATTGTACATATTCTCGATGTCTTTTTGAAGAGAAATACAGTCAATAACAGTTGAGATATTTTTAAAACATTTCGAATCATCTGCATATAATGCCACTGTGTTACTAACAACAGAGGGTAGATCGTTAATGAATAACAGAAATAGGAGTGGCCCAAGTATTGAACCTTGGGGGACTCCTGAGAGAACTGGTAGCCATTCAGAATGTTCATTCTCTACAATGACTCGTTGTCTGCGACCAGACAAATAACTATCGAACCAAGCAAGCAAGTTTGAGTGCACACCATACATTTTCAACTTGTGGACCAGAAGGCTATGGGAGACACAGTCGAAAGCCTTAGAGAAATCAAGATACACAACATCTACTTGGCCGCCGTTATCCAGAATGGAACCGATTTTGTGATAAATTTGAAGTAGCAATGTTGCTGTCGACCTGCCCTTAATGAACCCATGTTGAAGAGGATGAATTTGGTCTTTAAGATAAGGGAAGATGCGGTTAAACAAACATCTTTCCATTACTTTACTAATTATACTTAACAGAGAGATAGGACGGTAGTTTTCAACAGATTCCTTCCGGCCTTTTTTGAAAACTGGACATACATTAGCGTCTTTCCACTGTGCCGGCACCCAGCCTAGACGTAGACTTTTGTTAAACAGTGTCGTTAGCTGAGGTGCTATTTCCTGTGCACACCGACGCAGGATAACAGGGGATATTCCGTCGGGACCATATGCCTTAGCACAGTCAAGATTATTAAGTACATCTAATATCTCTTCATTCGTAAATACAAAGTACCCCAGATTTGGGTGTTGAAATACAGGTATATCAGAAAGTTGATGTTCAATAGTCGGCAGAGTAAAAACTGAGTGAACATATTTGTTAAATATATCCGCCTTTTCCTTGGGCGTTTTGGCCTCATCAGTACCAAAATTCATAAAACTAGAAAGACGGCTAGAGCCAGTTTTGGATTTAAAGAAAGACCAAAACTTTTTCGGGTTCCTGTGGACTTTGGTTCCAAGGCTACCCAAGAAAGCCTTGTACTTAGTTTTCAGCAGTTTTTGGAGGTCATTTCTTTGTTTCCTAAACTTGGCCCAAATGAGATGGTTTATTGGTCCTTTTGGCAAGTCGCCATGTTGTCATTTTTTTGTTACGAGCATGTATGACATCACCATCAATCCAAGGTGATGAAGAAGTATTCTTCACACAAATCTGAGGTATGAACAAATCAACAGCTTTCATCAACTCACGTCCCCATCTTTCCCAAGTGTCATCGAGAGCTTCATCAATCTCATCACATGAAAACAAATTAACTAAGCTTGACCTCAGCGAGTCGAAGTCCCCTTTCGTATAGTTATAAACATAACGTTTAGTACGGGCAAAACTCGGCCTATTTCGTGTAAACAAGTCAAAGTGTAAAATTGCGTGATCTGTTGGAAAGTCAGATGTAACTTGTTCAACTTCAGAACATCTGTCAGGAATATTCGTCAGCACCAGGTCAAGCAGGTGTCCATGACGGTTAGAAGTCACATTGTTAATTTGAGTGAGATAAAAATCATTTACAATGTTGCATAGAGTACGCTCCTGTACCGAGCTACAAGTAGAGTTGGACCAGTTGATCTTAGGAACGTT